TTTCCCCAGGGCAACAAAATAATGAAGATTATGAATGAGGGGAATAAAGCCTACAATGTAGCAAGCTAGCATTGCATCTTTAAATCTTTTCAGTTATATTAAGTTAATTTCATTGGTAACAGCCATCTCTTGCCTGGCAGTCAGAAACTTATCTGCAATATGGAATTTATAGGTTTGGTCTACACTACACTTTTCTGGCATAGCTATGCTGGTAGAGATGTAAAGAGAGGTCTTGGTGTTTTTTTCACTTGAGTTTTAGTATGACTAAAAGCCGTCTTGATACCGTAACCTGAATCTTAAGGAATATGTGAAGCTGTGACCTGACCTTGGTTACATGATTATACCTGTGTACAGGTACCATATGGGTAGGGGTCTAACTGAAATCAACTGGCCAATTTTGCATGCAAATTGCAGGGCTAGCAGTCAGTTTCATGGGTGGAACTGGTCCGTCCCCCGTCCCACAACAGGCCTCCGATTGATCAAAGGGGCCCAGTGGCCCTGCCTCTCACTCCTGATAGGCTGTGGGGGGCAGGGGTGGCAACTATCTTGCTATTTGAACAGTTGTTCTCCTCCTTTTGGTGTGTTGTTTGTTTGTTTGTTTGTGTTTTCCCCAGGAAGCTTACTAAAAGCACAGAGCCCACGCTTTTTTGTGGAGCTTGCCTGAAATCATGGTTTTTACACAATCATGATTTTGGTATGTCCTTACATATGGGCATGTCCTTTCCCATAAAGAAATATGCTATACCAGTATTACTAACACTGTAGTGGGGGTATTTAACTCTGTCTGTATAGTTAAGTGGTATAAATAGTACAACTCTTTCACGTTGTTAGCTGACCAGGTTGTAGTTTTCTACATGTTAGCGTGCCTTTTAAGGGATCCTGAGAGGACTTTTCAGTCGCATTAAACTAGCTTAGATTCAAAAAACACACCCTCTTAACTATCAACACAGGCCTGAGATGCAACATGTTGCATATGATTCTTTCAAGGGTGCTATAGCACCTAACCCCTGTGCCAGGAGAAAAGCAATCATTCCTCCTCCTGCTCAGTACTGCGCACCCCAGTGTACTGCAAACAGCCTCCATAGACGTTCTCTGCAGCCTCCATCCTGGCTGCCCCTGGGCTCTGAGCAGTGTGCTCTGCTGTGCATATGCATGGACAGACATGGGGTTGCACTTTTCTGCCTAGTTCATTCCCCTGATGCTCCTATGCTCCTAGGGCTGGCAGGAGGTGCCATGGGTGCATTTGGTTCTGGTTGTCAGCATACAAGTTGCTAGAGGAGCAGTTGTGGTGTCAGGAGCCACACTTGCCTCTTCAGATATGGCTAAAGTGGGGCCAGGATATGGGCGGAGTAGGACACAGTGGGGTCCTGCCTTCACCACCCTTACCTGGTGCCATTGGAAAACTTAGATTCCAGTTTAATTTGTTTGCCATAAGGTTCCAAAAAGTAATAGAGAGTTGGTGTGTAACATTAAAGTTGAGAACCACTGCCATATATCATCCTAGCAGGGTCAATTTGTTCTTTTAATGTCGTGTCTTTTTTTTTTAGTACCTTTTTATCAGATAAAGGAGACTTTCTTTTAGGTCCAAAACACAATTGTGATTAGAACTTAGCAAAATAAAAAATTCTTAATATCAACTATATTCTTACCCACTGATACTTGCAGATGTATTTTTTTAGAGACTAAGGAAGCCAAAATCTGGGATGTGGAATGAATGAAGAGAATGTTACCCTGCAGCAAAGGCTAGGTCACTGGGTCCAGATCCATGGAAGCCGGTTTTGTCTTTGTAGTGTGTTTTCCTATATGACCCTCCCCTTCTACCACAGGGCAGTGCAGAAAGCAGTAATACCTCATGCAGGCTTCAGATGTGCATTGTGGTGATTTTGTGGATTTATAGTTGGAGCCCTAGATGTCAGGCATGGGCACCAGTACACAAACATCAGCTCTCCTTCTGTGCCCTGTGTTTCCAGCGGCTCTTAAGTCTTGATTTAGACTGAACTCTCATCCTAATTCCTACTGATCTGAATCCTAAACATTATGTTGTGTGAAGATTTAACTCCTGATATCAGAGGTAAAGAATAGTATGGGATATATGGTTGTTGACAGACACCTTTAATTCTATGACAAACTATGAGAAAACAAGATTAATTTGCAGGCAAGTCTACTGTCAGAAACAGCAGGTAACTTTAAAGGATGGGAAAAGGAAGAATGCGTGTTAAAATTTGTGCTTCTTCCCCACAGCCAATGGTAAGCAATGATGCCAAAGCAAGTTTATCTAGACAGTAGAAAACTTTTAAGGCACACTGAAATTTACTTCAAATTCCTTTAAAAAGAAAGAGAGAAAAGTTTCTATCCTTTGTTTATAGGAAGCCTTCCCATCAGTTAACAAGACAGAAACTGAGTTCATGTAATTGACAGTACTTTGTGCATTAAGTAAACACAGTGAAAAGCAGAGGAATATATTTCATTACTGTTTTAGTAACCATGCTTGTAATGGTAATAGGACAAATTGTTGTGACAGAAATGTAACTTTTCAAGTTATTTAAAAGCTGCTATGAGACTCATCTCAAGAAGGCAGTTGGCTAAAAGCCTATAACCTAGACTTACATTTGTGTTGGTGTAAAGCAAAAGACAAACATGGCAAGTTCTATATAAGATCGCAGGAGATTAATTACAGGTGAAAGTATGACTACAAAAGGGTGTTTCTTTGTTTTTTGTCTTGGCCACAGATGCAATAATATCAAAATAGATCAATTCAAACTGTAGTT